GTTGCGCATGCAGCTGCGCCCGCCGCCCGTCGCCCGTCGTCCCGCCTCGCCTCTCCACGCCCGCAGCCGTGCTCCGTCGCCTGTCGACGCACGGCCGCGCTCGCGCACGCCGCCTCCTACGCGCGCGCCCCCAGCTCGCAGCCGCGCCGCACGCCGCTCTCCCGCGCCCGCGCTCACCCACGGCTGTCACACAGTGGTGTGCACCGGCATGGGGAGGAGCAGAAGAGTGAGGAAAAGGTGAAGAGAGAGGATGATAGGTGGGCATGGTGGATCACGTGGGAGAGAAGAGGAGAGAGGATGACAGGCGGGCTAGGGTCACATGCAAAAGGGACACAGCCGGACGAGGACGACCCAGAAAGTGTCCGATTGTGTCCGCTTTGGACGCAAACCCAGCTCAAACTTGCGCCCAGGATGGGACGAGGCGGACCAGAAATGGATGCTTTTTACGGATGGGGTTGCGTGTTGGGTCATCTTATTTGTCCGTTTAATCTCAAACGGACAGACCCGGGCGTTTTGAGGTCGTGCGGTGGAGATGACCTAAGCTGAACGCGTCTGCACATGCTGTGGAGCATCTCAGTATCCTCCCCGTACATGTTTCGACGGACACGGGGGAGCAGTGCGTTCCTTCCCGTACATTTGAAAGCTGCGCCGCATGCCGATGGGAGAAGGTCGAATCACTCTTGATTGGTCGTCACACCGAGGTCAATCGCGATGCTAGCCTCCACTACCATACCACTAATCGATCTCCGAAGTAGAGTATTAAGCATGGCTTGGGACCTTTTCATGGCCTTACGTATCATAGAAACGTAGTACTCGTACGTAGCTACGCCACGAGTGCATGAAAACAAAGGTACATCGATCGACCTGCCTGAAACGAGCATTGCCATCATGATTTCGGCGCATACTTTGTTTCAAGCAAACGATGAAATTAGTACGTCCGTAACCTGACCGTTGACGAGGACCTGGGAGGGGTTAGCTGAACGCGGTTCCCACTCATGTCTGTGCAGTGCAGTGGTCTGCGCACACTGTCCATGGATAGGATGGATAGAGCATCTTATACCCCAAACCAGCTCCCTTCCCGTACACCTACGCCTGCAAGCCGCACCGCGTGCCGATCGGAAAAGCTAGCATTTACTACTACGTTAATTACCGCTCACGAAAATTGCTTGCACCAATCAGTCAACTGTAGATGACTGTTGGGCAAACGTATTTCTCGGTTCCCTTTCGGAGAACAAAGTATTTCTGGTATGACACTGGCGCAAAGAAGAGCAGCGCCGCGTGTGGCAAGCCAAGCTCAAGAGCTGCGCCGCGTGTGCCAAGCCATGTTCCGTTCTGAAGCGCTGCAGGAGCCTGGCTCCATTGGGCGCGCGTCAACGCGACAAGACCATGCACGGGAGGTTACGCCACACCGCCTCAATCCTGTGCCCACCCCCTAAAAATGGAACAATTATGTGCCCATCAATGCCCGCCTCCCGTGCCCAAGAGGCACCGATGTGGGGGCGCACACACGCTGTTTTTCCTTCCCTCCACAATAATACGCCTCGAATATCGACCGAGGTGGTAGGATCGACCAGGAGGCCCAACCTCGCAAGCGAGCCAGCCGCGTACCAACCTGTGGCCCGGGCTCTAAATGGCGCTTTCGTACCGCGCACCGCCATCGTCAAATAAACTACCTGTCGCCTTCGTCCGGGCGAACAAGAACTCCATCCCAATCAAAAGAAAGAGAACAAGAAGGAGAACTCACTGCCCCGAATTGTTTTCGCCCGCTTCGCTTTACTGGCGGCAGCGCCAAAGCCCTGGGAGCGTGTAAAACAAGGCCGCAACGGCGCATCCGAAGAGCCCGGTTCTTGGAGCGTTGCCAAGTTGACAACACCTAACGACGACGTACCGGATGTACTTGCGCCTCTCCTTGTAATCTTCTCTCCGCGATTTCTTCTATACGCCCGCACGCACGCGTTGTAAACAATTCGTTTTTGGTCTGTTGTGTTCGCGCTCGCCCCGGTTCCTGTATATAACCGGCCACGGAAAAGTGCGGGACTCTCATGCAGAGTTCGACACAGGAAGCACACATTGTAGCCTTGTTTGTGCGAGCGTACTCTGCATTGCAGCTTGTGTGCCGGGAGAGACCAGGTTGGTTGGGACCGATGGCGGGCACGACCACGACGACGATGACGGCGTCGCCGTTCCCGACGGTGGACAAGTGCGCGTCGGCGGGCCGGAGCGGGGACACGGTGGTGGCCGATCTGGACGGCACGCTGCTGTGCGGCCGGAGCTCCTTCCCCTACTTCGCGCACATGGCGTTCGAGACCGGCGGCGTGCTCCGCCTCCTGCTGCTGCTCGTGCTCGCGCCGCTCGCGGGCCTGCTCTACTACGTCGTGTCCGAGTCCGCGGGGATCCAGGTGCTCATCTTCGCCTCCATGGCCGGCGCCAAGGTGGACGACGTCGAGGCCGTGGCGCGCGCCGTGCTGCCCAAGTTCTACTGCTCCGACCTCCACCCGGAGTCGTGGCGCGTCTTCTCCGCCTGCGGCCGCCGCTGCGTGCTCACCGCCAACCCCAGGATCATGGTGGAGGCCTTCCTCAAGGACTACATCGGCGCCCACGTCGTGCTCGGCACGGAGCTCGTCGTCTGGCGCGGCAGGGCCACCGGCCTCGTCCGCTCCCCCGGCGTGCTCGTCGGCGACAACAAGGCCGCCGCGCTCCGCCAGGCGTTCGGCGACGCCGCGCCGGAGGTCGGCCTCGGCGACAGGAAGACGGACTACCCCTTCATGCGGCTCTGCAAGGAGGGGTACGTGGTGCCCCCGACGCCCAAGCTCAAGCCCGTGCCAAGGGAGGACCTGCCCAAGCCGGTCATCTTCCACGACGGCCGGATCGTGCAGAAGCCGTCGCCGGCGCTCGCGCTGCTCACCTTGCTCTGGATCCCCATCGGCTTCGTGCTCTCCTGCCTCCGCATCGCCGCCGGCTCGCTCCTGCCGATGCGCATGGTGTACCACGCCTTCACCGCGCTCGGCGTGCGCGTCACCGTCAAGGGCAACCCGCCCCCGCCGGCCAGCCTCGAGACCGGCCAGACCGGCGTGCTCTTCATCTGCTCCCACCGCACCCTCCTGGACCCCATCTTCCTCTCCACCGCCCTCGGCCGGCCGATCACCGCCGTCACCTACTCGGTACGTACGCCGTAGCCGTACATATTCAACCTCTGTACAGCACAGCAGCTACGACACAGAGTACTCCATTGGTCACACGTGCTGATGGGCAACGGTATGTTGCGCAGGTATCGCGGCTGTCGGAGATGCTGTCGCCGATCCGCACGGTGCGGCTGACGCGCGACCGGGCGGCGGACGCGGCAATGATCCGGCGCCTGCTCAAGGAGGGGGACCTGGTGATCTGCCCCGAGGGCACCACCTGCCGGGAGCCCTTCCTGCTGCGCTTCTCCGCGCTCTTCGCCGAGCTCACCGACGAGATCGTGCCGGTGGCCATGGAGAACCAGATGAGCATGTTCCACGGCACCACGGCGCGAGGGTGGAAGGGGCTCGACCCCTTCTACTTCTTCATGAACCCGAGCCCCGGCTACGTCGTCACCTTCCTCAACAAACTGCCCCACGACCTCACCTGCAAGGGCGGCAAGACCAGCCACGAGGTGGCCAACTACATCCAGAGGCTCATCGCCTCCACCTTGTCCTATGAGTGCACCAGCTTCACCAGGAAGGACAAGTACAAGGCGCTCGCCGGCAACGACGGCTCCGTCGTCTCCAAGCCAAACATCGACAAGAAGAAGTTCATGGGCTCCTAATTATTAAACCTTTTTTTCTGAAGCCTAAAAACAGAAAAAACTTTACTGCACCAGCACCATCAAGGAAGGATGTAAAAGGGGACAAACTCAATGCCGTTGCGCTATTGATCTGATATAATATTCTAATGCGGGCTTCTGGATCAAAACAGTCGTTCTACACTCAGGCGGACGTCATCAACTATCGTTTCCATCCATTCTGCACCCAATGGTTGATGAAATAGCTTTGCAATGAATTCGACCTACGATGGTTGATGAAATAGCTCTGCATCCATCGCAGCCCACACGCACATCTACCACTGTACGATTCTCTAGTGCCATAGCTCTCCCACCTTCCCGCGCTTTCACACCCCGACCCCTCGTCCACCGCTTCAATGAGAATTGGTGCAACCCTTCCTCCGCTGCTGAAAAATCTCGGGCATTTCCAACGACGACCTTCAAATCATCCGCATACGTTCGAACCGCGCTGTCAGTACCATGATATAGCCATTCAACATGGGTCTGTATCGGTCCGCATGATGGTCCGGACGTACTTTCTCAAGTAAACTAGAGACAAAGCTAGAGGGCTTTGCGGACGTCTAGACCGCTGCCAAGCCCGTCTCTGACCGTCCTGGCTCTCCCAAGCTTTCCTTCTGATGCACGCCCCGCTTACCGCGTGATATTCATGCCGGCCCAAAGCATGCATCGTCCGGCATTGACACTTGCGATTTGACCGGATGGGACGGCGTCGCAGACGGACCCGGCCTCTCAGGAGCCGCCGCTTCAATGCAGACGCAGCTTCCCGAGGAACCAACTCCAGCCGCTGCGCCACATTAAAGCGGCTGACCGGCCCTTCGCATGGCCTAGCCGCGACTATTTAAGCAGCGCTCCGACGCCGTCCACTTCGCAATCTAAACATTTTCCCCCCTCCTCCTCCTCTCTCCCCTCCCATCTCCGTCCACAACACTGACGACGGGAAAGTCGTGGGCCCCTGCGACGGCAGGCGACAGTTCCAGGATGGGCTCCATCGGATTGTGGCGACGCCGCCCTCGAACTCCGGGGCCGTCGTCCTCATCGCCGGGCGGCTCCTCGAAGAAGGCGGAGATCGTCATCTCCTCCAACGACGAGGACGACCAGCCGCTGTAGCAGCAGCAGTCTGCGCCGACGGTGGCGATGATTCGTCTCCGTCGTATCTATAATTTTTTTATTGTCTCATGCCAATATTCTACAACTTTCACATACTTTTGGGAACAAATTAGATGATTTTCTTGAACTAATGTATTGATCTAGTGCCCAATGCGAGTTCCTCTTTGTTGCATATTTGTTTGTTTTGCAGAAAATCCATATCAAATGAAGTCCAAACGCGATAAAATTTTACGAAGTTTTTTTTGAATATATGTGATTTTTGAGAAAAAAGAATCAACGCAAGATAATGCTCAAGGTTCCCACAAGCTCAGCGCCCCTACCCTGGGGCGCACCAAGCAAGCTTATGGCCACCTCGAAGGTCGGTTGGGGGTGTCCTTCTGTCACAAGGAAGCTAATATCTGGATAAAAATCCCCTCAAAATTTCAGTCCAATCGGACTTACGGAGCTGTAGGAATATAACAAAAGGTTTTCGGCCAGAAACAGGGTCGCAAAACAGAAAAAAAAAACAGAGAGAGATCCAATCGTAGAGGGGCTCCTGCCCTCCGGAAGCGACGGCGGCGAAAGACCAGAGGGGAAACCCTCCTCCCACAATAACTTCGCCGCTGTCATCACCAACTTTCCATCCGCTATAATTTCTATTTAAATATGATGCTTTATGTCATTATTATATAATGATGTGTTGCCATCCTATGGTGCTTTTTTATTCATTGCCATGGTTGCAATCCAGACATCCATTATTTAAACACTCATACAACAACACAATGGTTTCTTCTCTTGCACCTCGCTTCAGATATGTTATCATGCAACACCGAGGGTTGGGTTACTACTTGTACTGGCCGGCGAGCTCGCCTTCCTTGACGATGTAGTTCTCTGTGGGGAAGTCCTCGCCCTTGAAGTACCTATCCAACATGTCCTTCACACCAGACGCGTACCTCAGCTGCAACAATTGCCATCCACATCAGAAAGTTACCATAACATTGATGTGCGGTGATCAAAATTTGTCCATAGTTTTTTAAGGCATACGGTTGGGTATCAGAACACCAAGTGCAGTTAATGATGATACACCCTAAGGACTATGCTGAGATGTAAACAGCAGAAGCTGACCTGTGCATCAATTGTAGTCCCAGAGGTGTGAGGGGTCATTGCGTGATTAGGCATGTAGCGCCATGGGTGATCCTTGGGTGCGGGTTGGGGGAACCAGACATCACCTCCATATCCTGAAAATCAGGAATAAAGTACTTTGAGTAAAAGGAAATAATCCCCAAGATAGAAATATAAGCTACTGCATCATTCTCCTAATATTTGACACAATTCAATAGTACACAATAATAAAAACTATCAAATAAACAAGTGTCATGGCAAGAAACATAATTGAACAGAATTTACAGAGGCATGTATCACACTTTGTTTTTGTCAACTCTAAGAAATAGTTAACTATGAACTCGCATAGTTAATTACTTATGTTACTGCATTATGTTATATTGATTTCCAAATTTTACCATATTACCCAAGATAAATACAAAGCCTGACAGACTGAAATTAAATTATGTGCTTCATAGACCTCAACAGGAACAATTAGATACACATCCTACAGAATATTGGTGCTTAAGATAGACTAATTATGTGAAAGAATGGTACCAGCAATGTAACCACTGGAGCAAGCATCAGCAACTGCCTGGGTATCCATGATTGCTCCCCGAGCGTTATTCACGATGATTACACCTTTCTTCATCTTCGCAATCTTTTCTTTATTGAACATGCCTCTGAAGAAAGGACCAAACAAAATTTAGAGAAATTTATATTACTCCATCTGCTCCATAATTATTGTTGTGGTTTTAGCTCAAACCACAACAACAGTTATGGAACGGAAGTGGTAAAAAATAATGTGAAAGAACGAGTGTGATGAATGGAAACCTAGTCTTCTCAGTAAGAGGTGTGTTGATCACAATGACATCACACTTTGGAAGCATCACATCCAGGTCCTCTTCAAATATCGCCCCAATTTCTTTCTCAAGCTCCGGGTTAATTTGAATTCTGTCATGATAGAGCAGGTTGCAGTTGAAGGGCTTAAGGCGTTGAAGTAAGAGCCTGCCAATACGACCAGCCCCGACAGTTCCGACGGTCTTTCCCTCAAGATCATAAGCTCTGTGGGCAATGCCTGCAACATTCCATTCACCTTGGACAACCTGTTGATAGCCAGGAAGAAGTTCCTGAGCAGAATCAAGATGCGCATCAGCTGATCTTCTGCCATAGACACGGTGTTACTTCCCGTGACCTCTGCCAGTCAAACGAGCAGCAGCAGCAGCGAGCAAATCAATATGGTCTGAGCCAATCCCAGCTGTGAGAACCAACTCGAGGTTCTTTGCCTTCTTGATCCGCTCTGCAGTAACATAGGCTGGGTGGAATGGGGTGGTTATCAGAACATGCATGTCTTCAATGTGTTTCTCCAGCTCTGGGTACAAGAACATCAATCATTTATTCAGGCATCAAGAGTCGGATACAATAATCAGAGATATAAGACCATCTAAGAAGATAAGTATCATATTGATTTCATCTTACTAACTCAGGGTTCAGAACACTCATGACTGCTTATTCAAAAAATAAAAAATAAGACACGCTGTTGAGGCAAATAAGGAGCAAATCTAACCATTTCACATGGAACAAACAAAAATTATTTTTGCCGTCATCAGCAAAAAAAAACCCAGAGCAATCGGATATACCATAGCATTATAGACTATGTTTAGCATTTTGGTATTTGTGTCTGATATATAGTGCAATGTATTACTCCCTTCGATGCAAAATAAGTGTTCTGGTTTTAGTTTAAATTTAAGCTAAAATCACGACACTTATTTTGGACCGGGGGATTAATAAATTGTTCACATAGAGAAGCACAGGAGTTGCTTTACAGTATTGTTAACGAGAGGCGATTTCCTATGCATGGTGATAGCTACGCACACATGGTGGCGGCTGCACACCCTTTGGCATAAGTGCCTTTTTTAATATATATATATGAGGTGTCGGTTTCTTATGGGATTGGCACAAGTGCATTTTTGTTGTATGGAAATGACCTTTTATCACTTCTCTTTGTCTTTTTTATTACCTTTTTTACACAAGTGCCTTTTCGTTGTGTAGAAAAAGCCTTTTCTCACTTTTGTTAGTCTTTTTGCTTGCCTTTTTGGCATAATTACATGTTTGCTTGCCAGGCTGATCCAAACTCACGATATTCTTGTTATAGAGTTAATTTCCATAGTCCAAAATAATTTAGCAAAATAATTAGAGATAAAAATTAGGGTTGTACGTAGCTACCACCATGGGTAGCAAATTATTTCCGTTGTTAACAAATACCACCTCTGTTCCTACAATTAGGAAGAGAGGGTGTAATAAATTACAGGAAATTAAAAAAAACAGGAGAGGAATTGGGACGATCTTGGATACTGACCGCTGTCCAATCCCTCCTTGTCGTCTGTGACGATGTAGTGATGTCCATTGGATTCCAGCCAGCTGCGTATGCCGAGGGCACCCTCGACGCAGCCGACGAAGTTGGGGTTCTTGTCGGCGTACTCGCTGGCCTGGTAGAACACCCCGACGATCTTCTTGCCGCCTGCAGAGGTCTGCAAAACAGAAGACCGAAATACAAACACGATCTTCTTGTCAGTTCCACTATATATATCTTCTACTGCCCTACTCGTCTCAAGGCTTCGGTCAAGATTTTTTTTTTTTTTGAGACTGGGCAAAAGATTTGCCACTTTCATTGATTAAGAAGAAGGTTTAGAGTTTTTGGCCAAAGGCCGAATTACAAAGACATCACTCTCGTGGCACTACAGTACTCAAATATTTGGCCCCTGCAAGGCATCAACACTTTGAAACATCTTTGATTC